GCGCGCGCGCACGCGCTCTTTGGAGATCTACATGTATCTTGACATCAAACTTCCCCTGGGTCTAAGAGCTTCCCAGCACAGGGACCCTGGGTCTAAAAGATATACTTCTCCCCTGGCTTTTCTTTCTTGGTGGTACCCTGTTTCCCTGAAAATAAGACAGTGTATTATATTAATTTTTGCTCCCAAAGATGCGCTGGGTCTTATTTTCAAGGGATATCTTATTTTTCCATGAAGAAGAATACGGTACACATTTATTGTTTAACAACCCAAAAAAGGAAATTTATTACCTGTATACGATACGGTAGTAGTTGTCATCACAAACCAGCATAACCAGACAAACTGAATCCTATAGTATCAAGAATTTCTTGTTACTACCATTATTTCCATGTACAACAATCTGTGGTACATTTTCTCATTTATTCAATGACAGTCACGTCATTATCTTCTGGAACATCATAACAATCCAAACCCTTATTTTCAGGGAGGTCTTATTTTCGGGGGGATGCCTTATATTTCAGCGGGAGGCAACATTGTAAGTAGGTCTTATTTTCGGGGGATGTCTTACTTTCGGGGAAATGGTAGTAGTAGGTCCTTCCTTTGCTGGCTCATTTAATCTCTTCTCTATCTCAAAAGAGATTGACTCAAAGTACAATCTAATCTGGTAAATTGCATCCTGCCACATTAATATTACTGCCTCTAATCCTTTATTGGTCTCATCACAGACGTGAGAGTTATAACACATAGAATAATCACATCAGCCCTCAAAATGGGGAATAATTACATAAGACCCAGCCAAGTTAATCCACATGTTAAAGTGACACCATTCAATCTGCAAGAGTCAAGGTCTGGGTGATTCTAGGGTCTAGCCCCGCATGATGTAGTTTGCATGTGGTCGCTCTCCTAGCCAGCCCTACACCAAGACATCTTCAATCTGGAGCACCCCCACCCAACTTTCGATTCTCTGTCACTCCATTCTTGCAACCCATTTTGCTGAATGCAATAGCTCCTCCTGGGGCCTTTTCATCACCTGCAACTGCTCTGGATTCCTTCAGTGGTGCAGACAGTTAAGCGCTACCAACACTGCGGTCAGCAGTTGGAATCCACTGGGGATCTAATTCCAAAGAGCATGCTTGACCTTTGGAAATAGTAGGACATGCATTTCTACTATGAGCCACATGAGGGCAACCGTGAGTCAGAACAGATTGGAAGGCAACTGCTTTTTTGGTTTTGGGTTTATTGGTTTTTCTGAAATCTTTGTTTTTGTTACACCTCCGAAATACTAAACTCTAGAAAGTCCTCTGATCACATATCATAAGGCCCAACTCAAAAACTGCTTAACAATTAAACAAAAACTAAAACGTTGTCACTCCTGCCTTATGGGCCCCCACCACCCACCACCGCCGCCCAGCCCAGTTTACCCTCCCATCACCAGATTGTTCCACACTCTCTATTTACATATTTACATATTTCCATGACCTCTTATCTGTCCTGGAACTTCTGGGGGGTGGGGTGCTCATTGATGTTTGTTGAACAAGCGACTCTAGTGCACCTTCCTTTCTGTTTCCTAATCTCTCCCCCACCCACTGTTCTACCCTTCCCTGTCTGCACAGGCCTGACCTGTCGGGCCATGTGATTCACTCCTGATGCCATGCCTGGGCCTCTCTGGCCTTGGCCTTGCCGCGGCTGTTTCTGCCCTGTTCTAGCTCTCTGGGGCCATAGAGCCAGTGAGTGACGCCAGAGTGACCACGGCGTGGGATCACACTCTACATCTTGCTCACCCCATGACTTCAAGCAAGTCTACTTATCCTCCTCTACCTCCTCATCTGTAAAATGGGGTGATGAGAGTGTCTCAGTCCTAGGGTTTGTTGTTAGGGTTACACTACACCAGAATCCTACCTTGGCCTGTAACACAGACCCGGGCCAGTAAGCATTCAGTACCCTGAGGCTGGAGTTGCTATTGTTCCTGTCAGTCTGACGGACTGATGGTGGCAGGTTCTCACTCCACCATTGCTTGTGGCTCAGGCCTGAGTCTCAGTGTATCTTTCTGCTGGGAGGTGTCAGGGGGAGTCAGCCACCAATCTCTGCTCACTAGGCTGGATCAGCTCCCTCCATCAGTGTGCCCCTCATCTCTCTGTTTCTCCCTAGGGCTCCCTGTGCCACTACCTGACCCAGAATAGTAGTGACTGGGGCAGTTCCTTGCGGATGGCACTGTCCCTTGCCCAGGGCCTGGCATTTCTCCATGAGGAACGCTGGCGGGATGGTGGGTGAGCCAAAAGAGCCGGTGGGCGGGGGTGTCAGGAACCCCTCTACAATGTTTCAGATCCTCCCTAAGATGGGAGGGGGAAGGGTGGGTCATAAAAACAGGAGGAAGAGGATCCCCACCCCTTCATCCTCAGATTCTCCCGCAGGTCAATATAAACCAGGCATCGCCCACCGAGACCTGAGTAGCCAGAATGTGCTCATTCGGGAAGATGGGTCATGTGCCATTGGAGACTTGGGCCTCGCCTTAGTGCTCCCTGGCCTTGCGCAGCCCCCGGCCTGGACCCCCATTCAACCTAGAGGCCCAGCTGCCATCATGGAGGTAAAGATGCTGAGGTGGGGGCGGGTGAGGCCCAGGATGCTGGTGGAGATGCGCCCTTGACGTGGCCACAGCACAGCCAGGCCTGTAGCCTCGGGGACCATCTCTGACTCTGTATGAGAGGGGAGGTTGCTTGGCCTAGTGCTGTGGTGAGGGTTGCCATGGAGATAACTCCAGGGCCCCCTCACCTTGCTCTCCAGGCTGGCACCCACAGGTACATGGCCCCTGAGCTCTTGGACAAAACTCTGGACCTACAGGACTGGGGCACAGCCCTCCGGCAAGCGGATGTGTACTCTCTGGCTCTGCTCCTGTGGGAGATACTGAGCCGCTGCCCAGATTTGCAGCCTGGTAAGGACGGAGGGGAAGAAGCCCTGGTGGAACAGGGCAGTTCAAATCCACCAGCTGCTCCCCAGGGGCAAGGAGGGGCGGGCTGCTGCAGCAAGGGTTTTCAGCCCTGGAAACTGGGGGGGCCACTTGCCTTGCTGAGCGTCAGAGTTGACTTGAGGGCAGTGGGTTTTAAGGATGGGGGTCAGAGTGATGCTTTACCACCCACTGTAGCCCCACCTCCCTCCTGACCTGGTTCCCAGGAAACCTTGCTGTTGCCCCCACTAGGCTCTCTCCCCAGAATCCACGCCCTGAGCTGACGCTGATCCCCCATGCCTTCTCTCAGACAGCAGATCACCACCCTTTCAACTGGCCTATGAGGCCGAGCTAGGCAGCAACCCCAGCACCTGCGAGCTCTGGGCCTTGGCAGTGGAGGAAAGACGCCGCCCCTTCGTCCCACCCACCTGGCGCTTCTTCACTGCAGTAAGAGCCCACAGGCTGGTCAATGGGCCGTGGAGAGGAAGACTGGGCATGGGGGTCAGGGGCTTCTCTGCAGACGCAGCCGAGCCCCACCTAGCTTCTCTCATCTCCAACCGCTCCTTGGCTCCTGTTCAGCCGGAGCCGGGCAAACCTGGCTCACACTTGCCTTCGCTCTCTTCCACCCTCCATCCCACACAAGCCTGCCGAGGACCTGAGACCCACACACTTCCTGGTCACCTTGTCCAGTCGGCCTCAGCGCTCTTCCCTCTGGCTTGACCTGGCTTCCCTGTCCCCTCCTCACTGAGTGGACTTTGCTTCCTCCTGGAGTTTGGCTCCAACCTGGTTCCTCTCCTGGTAGAGTGAAGCCCAAATCCAGGCTAGTGTTTCTGCCCGTAATCCAATAAGCGCAGGGGGGCCTTGGCACTTGGGATGGGTCTGCTCCACTTCCTCACATGATGCCCTTCCCCTGCTACCTGCCCTGAGGTTTCGGCGACACAGCTATCTGGAGGGGCAGCTACCAGCAGCCCAGGCATTGTCTCCAGAAGCCTCCGGGTTGGGGTTGCCAGAGAGGAAGGAGAACGATTTCCTGTTAGCGTGTTAACCTAATTAGTATGAGGCTGCTCCCATGAAGCAATGGACCCTGCTAAACGTTCCCAGCAAGCCTTTCACCGGGAGCAAGATGCTGGAGGCAGGATGTCCGAGTGAGGGGGTGGGGGCAGGAGGCTCCAGAAAGGCTCATGAGTGGAAGGCTGCAAACAGGGGCGTGTCCAGGTGTGGCTGAAGATGCACTGGGGCACCTGGGACCACTCAGGATCCACGTTGAAACCTGCCTCCTGGTCCTTCTTCCCAGGAGCCTGGTGAGCTGAGGGAGCTCCTGGAGGACTGCTGGGACGCAGACCCAGAAGCGAGGCTGACGGCAGAGTGTGTGCAGCAGCGCCTGGCCGCCCTGGCTCGCCCGCAGGAGGTCCGCCGCCGCCCACAGGGCGGTCCCCAACGCTGCCTGCCTCTCTGCCCACCAGACAGCGCATCAGCTCGTAGCCCCTGCCATGCTCCCCTGTAGGCCTCAGCTGAGAGTCTGCCACGACAGCGGTCAGTAAGGCCCTTGCCCCAGGCATCCTTCACCTACCTGTGCCAGGTCTCATGTGCACATAGTGTGTGTATAATCTCTGTACGCGCAGAGTCGATGGCCTGTCTCACCAGGGGCCTGCCTGTCTGGTTCCCACTTGCTGAAGCCGTGGACGCTTCTGGAGTCAGCACAGTCCTGGCCAGTGGTGGGGTGGGGTGGGGTTGGGGGTTGGGGGGCGTGCACTAGAAGCAAGCAGCTTTCCTAACTTCACCTCCTGGGACCACCCTCTGCCTTGTGGTCCTGGGCTCCTTATGGGCCGTCGTCTTCTCCCCTTGTTTCTAGGACCTCATCCTGGGAACTGGGGACAGAAGACTTCATTCAATGAGACTGCCACCCTGAAGGTGCTCAGAGACCCGCAGCTCACTCGGTTGGGGTTCTGTCCAGGGTGCTGGGGTACAGGAGAGGCGCATTCTGGGCCTCCGTGGGTTCCAGGAAGACTTCACGGAGCCCAGGCCGCTTGAGCGGAGTGTTGAGAGCGTGTGCGGGCTGTGTGCAGGCGCAGCATCACGAGGGGCACGGAGGAAGGCAGTATCTGGATGCAGCACGTGGCAGAGGGAGTGGAGAAGTGATGGGAGAACTCCAGGCTTTCATCCCATGATTATGTTTAAATGAGTTATTCCATGTAGTTTTGTTGTCGTTCAGATTACATCCTTCAAGTCTTTTTGTTTCTTTCTTTTCTTTCCCCAAACCATTTTATTAGGAGCTCATCATACCAGACATCATACCACGCATCCTGCAGTATTGTATAGTTGCTACCACAGTCAGTCTCAAAATATCCTTCACGTCTGCGTCTTGTCTTGGTAGTTTCTTTACCGGCTTTTCTTTTCCCACCCTAAGCCCTCTGGGTGCCCGGCAGGTGCAAGTGCCTGACTCAGTTTCTAACTACCAGCCTGAGTGTCCTTGGCCAAGTCACTCCCTCTTTCTGGGCCTCAGGTTGCTTGTTCGCAAAATAAGGGGCTTGGAGACCTTCTGGTCTACCCTAAAATAGGAGGCTTTAAGGTCACCATTGCTGTATTGTTTAGCGCTCTGTGTTTGGGCAGGTTACGGAGCCCTCCGCCTCTCAGTTTTATCGTTTGTAACATGTGGATGGAAACACCTGCCCGCAATGGACTGGAACAGGTCAAGATGGGTGAAATGCCAAATGTTTTGTTGCCTGTATATTTACCACCACTAACAAGAAGAACAAAACCCTACCTTGTTTGCAGAGTTGCTTCAGGGTGAGAACGGACAAGGGGCAGGTCTTGCCTAGCGCCTGTCTCCAAATGGACACTTGGGAAATGGCAGCGGGCACGCCCATGTGTTGACTGATCTCTCGGCTGGCTCTCCCTTGTTGTCCCAGAGTCCAGGAGAGCCTGTCCATGTGCAAGCCCTGAGACTTATGAGCCCCTTTATGTCTGCACCTTGCAAGCACAGAGACGTCACCTTCTTTCAGACCTGGATCTCCCAGTGTCTCCAGGTATCTAGTTGAATAGGCTAAAACTGAACACAACAAAATCCACATGCCCATGTCCTCTTCTTCCCTGATCCGCAAGGGCGTCCACACGAGGATCCCAACAAGGATGGGGTGCTGTCCCCTCCTGTGACCCTGCTGAGCCCACCACTCTCCAGTCCCCCGTGATTGCTTGGGCCTCTCCCCACTTCCTCCCTCCTGTGCATGGCACCCCAAAGATCGCTGCCTAGATTTCCCCCAGGATAGCTGGTGGTGAAACACCACTGTCTGGATACTTTGTAAACAGAACATTCCCAGTTTCTTACCTGCACCAACAGGGGGCGTGTCTTTCTCACCTGTGAGCACCATTTACTGAGCAGAAGTCGGAGGACTCAGAGGTCAGAAGTCATGTCCACAGTCACACAGCTCTTAAATAACAAAAGGGTTTTCAATCCTTGTGAGTCATTAAAATGATATTGATGAAGTTATTAAAACAGTGCTTACAGAGACTCCACGTGGGTAATTCACGTGAAATCATATGCACACAGGCTGAGGAACACAGCATTATGCTACATCAAGCATAAAACCATAATCATCAGAAGTCCCAATAGAGGGACATCTTCTAAAAGGCCACCTGGTTAGTATTCTTCAAAATGATCAAGGTAATCAAAAACAAGGGAAATTTGGGAAACTCACAGCCAAGAGGGGTCTAAGGCGACATGATCAAGTATGGTGCTTGGATTCGGAGTCCCTGGGTGGCGCAGAAAGTTCACGTCCTCTGCTACCAACTAAAAGATGAGACACTGGGAAGTCGCTCAGAGGCACTTTGGAAGAAGGACCTGGTTGATCTACTGCAAAACCAGCCACTGAAAACCTTAGAGTCCCCGAGACAATGTTCGTCCAGCAGCCTCCCAGGCTAGGACTGAACTCACCCCACTCAGTCAGCTTTCCCCCCACCAACAGAGGGTGTTCTAGGGGAACCCTAGGACCAAGGAGGAAAGCACTCCTGAGAACAACTCACCTAACGGGCGGGCATGGTTTGTCTGAAGGCCACTCTCAGAAGGCAAGCAGGCATAACAAAGCAGGACCTCACCTCGGAAAGGGGCGCAGGGAGGAGGCCGGGGCGTGCGGTGCCTCTGTGTGGATTGCAATCACTGTCATGAAACAAAATGTAAGTTGTTGCTTTGTAGGCTTGAACACGAGCCACAATGTTCAAAAAAGGAAAGAAGCCCTTCTGGAGCCCAGGTCCCTCTTCTGTGACTCAGATGCGGCCGCTAGGAGGTGGACTGGACTCCCTGACAACCTGTTAGATGGTCTCCTCCTGGGTGGGCCTCAAGAGGGAACAACAAGCATGTCTGAATGAAGCCTGAACTTTAGTTCATCCGGAGCCCTCCAGGTTGGGCTCCTGGGTGAGAGTTGGGCTACAAACTGCCAGGTCAGCTGTTCAAAACCACCAGCTGCTCCATGGGAGAACGACGGGGCTCCCTCCTCTCCTGAAAGAGTCACCGTCTTGGTCTTGGAAAGTCACAGGGAAGTTCTACCCTGTGCTATAAGGTCACTGGGAGTTGGCATCAAGTGGATGACTGGGGGTGGGGGGTGGGGTGTTGATTCTTGGTTAGTTAATAAGCACGAATCCACATGGATTCATTAGTGGTCACAAAGGAGCCCTGCTGGGGCAAACTGTTAAGTGCTCAGCTGCTACCTGAAAGGCTGGCCTTCTCACTAGAAGAGATCCGCTCATCTGCTTCCAAGAGCCTTTGTGGAGCAGCTCTACTCCGTCTCACACGGGTAGCTGTCAGTTGAAAACAACTCTATGCTCCATAGCGCCTAACAATAGCTGTCACTGTCGGGGTCAGCTACAGGCCTGCATGAGCTCGGAGGCCCCAAGGACCTGCCCGGAATTGCCTTACAAGAGCCATTCCACCCATCCTGTGCAGCGGACTTACCTGATCCATTCCACTGATCATATCAAGGATCACTAGAGGTCTGGATGGCCCACCCCAAATTGCCTCCTCACATCCTTCATCCCAGAGGTCATGCCCAGACAGCCCATAGCCTAACACCACCCCCACCTGACCCCGAGGGCCACAAGCTGTGTTTCAGGGACCAACCAGTATGCTGGACTAAGAACCAAATCAGGATGCAAGCAGGAAAGGGGAGGAGCCCAGCCAGTGAGGTACCTGAGCCCTATAAAATCCAGTGTCATCCCTCGCATGTCACAGCATCCTCAAACCCTGAGGTGACCCGCTAGTGGACTTTGTTGATCGAATCTTCCGCTCCCATTACTGTCTCTTGGCACTGTCTCATCTTGATGGCTTGTGTGTGTGGCGCCCTCTGCTGTGGGGAAACTTGCTGGCTTTTCTCTGAGGAAGAAAAGCCAGGCGACATCACTCTGGACACATACCAGTACCAGATGCAACATGCTAATGTGAGATATTAGTGGTAGGGGAAACTGGGTGCTGGGTCTATGGGAACTCTATGCAAATTCATGATAATAAAAATTTTCATGTAATCATTGACCCCCTTGGATGTTTTAAGACCTGCTCGCAATTCGGGGTTGTCAGTATCATAAAGTACCCGTCCCATGAAATTCTACTATCGGTTAAGTGTAAGTACGAAATTCAACCAGGATGACTTATTTCTCTGTGGATCGTATGAGGGTGGCTTCGGAAAGTTTGTAACAACTTGCAAGAGGTTGTGTAGGTTGGTGGATGAAACGTTATTCTGAGAAGGAGGATGGAGGACAGCAGAAGAACAAAGATAATTCACTTGGAGCACAATGAATACTTGTCCGCATCCCGGTTAGCTTTGGGATTACCTTCTTTTTGACCTGAATCTAATTTAGAATCTTTAGTGTGTAAGGGCAAGAAGGTAGAAGGACGATTTCCTGCCCCATGAAGAAAACCTACCTACCTATCCATATTGACATTCCCAAAGAGTGAGCGTTCTCCTAGCCCATCTTGTGCATGCCGTCTCATTTCTAGCTACACATTCTTTTCCTGCCTTTCATTTCCCTTTTCTCTGCTCTTGGTCACCTACTTCTAGAGGTGACTTGTATTTCATTTGTTCTAGGTAGTTATAAAAGCCATATGGGATCCAGTTTCAACGCCCCAAAGCACATGAAAAAGTTGAGAATCTGAAGTAAGGCCTTAGCACATCCGGGTTCTGACACGGACTTGTTCCTTTCAAGGGACGGAACTGTTCAGCAATCTCAGCGATGTGGGCTAGCCCTCTCCTGGATGGAGGAGAAAGCAAAGGCCCGGAAAGGTAGGAGGGAGGAGCCCAAAGTTCCACGGTGCACGTGTGGAGCCTGGAACAGGTGCGCTTCCTTTCCAAGATGCCCTGGCACCATCGCAGAGCATCCTTTTCACAATCCGGAGA